CCAGCCCACGGAGGGGAAAGTTTGATGCCTTTGGTTAGGCGGCTTCCTGAAGGAGTGGGTTGCCTTGGGGCATTAGTTGGTGAAGAGACCGATATAAAATGGAGTAGCAGGTGGCCAGCCCACGGAACAAGAAAGCTAAATGTCCTTTGGGGCAAGAAGATTCCTGGCAGAGTGGGTTGCTCTTGGGCATTTATCGGCAGAAGCGGAGAGACCAAGGAAGTAGAAGCAGAGCTGCCTCAGCCTTAATAAGGGTAGGACCATGGCCTTTGGGGGTGGAACAATTACAGTCCCCTAGGTTTCAAAGAGCCAGGCCTTCACCAACTTGGTTCTGGAGTGTGGGGTGCTTGTTCATGTGAGCCAGTGGGATGGAGCCAAAGCCGCTGCCCAAGAGTGAGGGGGCGGGGCTGCCATGCCCAAGAGGGAGAGGAAGGGAGCCCGCCAGGCTAAGGGGGTGAGGTCACCACTTAGAGGAACTGGGAGACTGGAGCCACCCAGTGGAGGAGATCTGTACAGATGCCAAGTTGACAAGGGGTGGAATTGAGGTAGTTATGTTTGTGTGTCAACTTGGCTGGGCCTGGTTGAGTGGCTGGCAGCTGGTGGTAGTTATTCCCCATTATGGGACTGGCAATCATCTCCATGGTGGGATATACCACAAGCAGCTGAGTAGCTGCCTTTGGGAATGTGGTCTACTTCCTGTATTTAAGGAGAAGCCTTGGTAATGGTCTCTAGCCTATGGTATGCTTGGACCTTGCATGTAGCTGTGTCATTGCTCAGCAGCCTGCTATGCTCTGCCAACCTTGGGACTTAAAATGGACTTAAGTTAATGGCCTGCCTTGTGGTTTGGTAACATCGGGACTGTGCCTTTTGACTTGTCAACCTTGGGGTTCTCAGCCTCAGCAGCCTGCAGCTGTCTAAGTGAAGAAACGTCTCTAGCTCCAGTGGGCCAGGAGCAGGAGGCAGAGCTGGACCCCAAGGTTGAGGGGCTTTGACCCAGCCCCTAGAGCCTGGCACTCTGAACTTGGACTTAAAGCCTCCAAATTGTAAGAATAAACTCCTGTTTGTTTGAGCCATCCCATTTGTGGTATATTCTTGTCAGAGCAGCAGTAGGTATCCAGGACACCATCTTTCCCCTCTGCCCTTATTCCCTCTTATTCCACCATTGCTCACTCTTACTCCCATCTTTTTCTTCCTCTTCCTTATCCCCTTGTCTTACCCCCTTTTACGTCCCCTGCCCTTTCTTATCCCTCTACTCTTTTTTATCTTGTCTTTTTTTACTCTCACCCTAATCTCTTACTCCTTTACATCCTCCATCACTCTTATTTCCCTGCTCTTTCTCCCCAACCCTGTTTTTTTTTCTTACTCCCCTATTACCAGCATTTCTTACCTCCCCAACCTTCTGCTCTTCCTTACCCTTTCTCTTATACACCTCCCCTCTCCTACTCCCTTACCCATGCTGCTCTCTTAGCCCCTCACTATTGCCTCTTACCTCTTAGTCCCCTCCTACCAAGCCCTCTCTCACTGTCTCCCAGCTCTCTCTCTTACCTTTGTTCTTTATTGCCTCCTTCACTCCTTTCTTACTCCCTTGCATATATTTTTTTTATCCCAATAATCTCACTTCTAGGAATTTATGTAAATAAAATTTCACACAAATGTATGAGATGTGTGTACACAGATGTCCAATGAAACATTTATAATAGTAAAAATGTTCATCAACAGGAGATTGGTACCTTTTCCATCCATTCATAGAAAACTATACTCTGTTCTCTTAGCATAATATGCATTTACTCAATTCCATGCCTTCACATGGGAGCTCTGGTAGCATAGTGCCTAAAGCACTTAACTGCTAACCAGAAGGCTGGCGGTTCAAACCCACCAGCCACTCCTCAGAAGGAAGGTTGGACAATCTACTTCCGTAGTGATACTGCCTCAGAAACCCAAGGAGGGGTCGCTATGGGTCAGGTCTGACTCGACGGCACATAACAAACAACAACATGCCTTCACATAAGCTGTTGTCTCAGCTTGGAACACCCTTTTGCCTCATCTCTACCAGTCTTATATAAATCTACTTTGAGTTCCAGCTCAACTAATCCCCTCAGTGAAGTCTTTCCTAGCTTCTGTAATTGTTCCCATGCAGTGGTCTTTGGTTTGATCTCTCTTATCGTATAGATCATATTCTGCTATAGATTCAAGTTAGATGTGCCTTCCCACAAAACTGGAATTTTCTTGAGAGTGGGGACATGTCTTCATTTATTTGTCCTGCTCATTCAGTCAACAAGTGTTTATTTGTTTTCAGGTATACTGTGCTGAGCACACAGTGGTCAATAAGACCCATGTCTGCTTTCATACATACATACTGCTTTCATACATACAGGCTGACAGATGAAAAACAAGAACGTAGACAAAGTAATAACTGGTGAAGAAATAATTAAGGGAAAAGTAAGAATAAGGGGCAGGGGTTAGCTCCTCTAGCTAGTGGTCAAGGAGATCTTTTCTGAGAAGGTAACATTTAAACTGAAATCTGAAGGATGAGAAGGACCCAGCCACACCAAAAATACAAGGAAGAACATTCTAGGTCAAGAGAACAGCATGTGCCAAGACCCTGAGGTGGGAAGAAGTCTGGCAAGTTCAAGGAAAAGAAAGAAAACCTCTGTGTGTACGCCTGAGGGGAGAGGTAGAAAATGAGATTGAAGAGCAAGACAGGGTCTGAGTTATGCAGTGGTTTGATGGCTATGGGCAGAACTTTGGGTTTCATTCTAAATACATTGAAGGGTTTGACCTGGTATCAATTTTGAGATTGCTTTTACCATTTGGACAGTGGTGGTCTGGAAAGAACAAGAGTGGAAGTGGGGAGGCCATATAGCAGATTGTTGTCCAGGTGAGAGTTGGTAATGACCTGCACAAAAGGTAGGAAAGTGAAGATGGAGAAAAGTACAAGAGGATTCAAGTTGGGTTTTGTAGGTAGAATTGACAGGTCATGTTGATGGACTAAATGTGGGGGAACAGTGAGAAGAATGAAGGTTGACACCTAGGTTTCTGGCTTGAGTACCTAGGGGGATGGTGGTGCATTTACTGAAATGGTCAAGACTTGGAGGTGGGAGCATAAAAAAAAATCAAGAACTGCATTTTGAAATTTTGATTATGTTAAATTTGAGATGCCTTTAAGATACCAAGTCCCAAACAATGCTTTGTTGCTTAGGAGTTGATTTGATAGCTGTACCATCTCCACCACTACCATGCTACAACCCATCACCACCATTACCATCTCACTTTTGGAAAGGCCACTGTAGGCTTTCATTGACAAAGTCCATCTTCACAGTAGAGTTACTTGTACTGTTAGTTTAAAGTAAGTTTGAGGAACTGTGTGTGACATAGCACTTCTAAGACCACATTGCTTAGAGTGTCTCCTGCAGCAGAATGGCCTGGACCTTTGTTCAAAATGCAGATTCCTGGGCCCAACTCAATCCTTTTGAAGCTGAATTGGAGGGAGGCATCTGCATATTTAACAAGTGTACGTGGGGATTCTGAGAACCGTTGCTGTGTGGAGCAACTATAAACCTAGAAGGTACCCCTGAAGATAACAGGGCTGGATGTGGGCAGGACTCTTAACCCCATGAATGAAGGGCAACTGGGCATCCTGTTAAAATGTAGATACTGGCTTGGCATGTCTGAATCAGGGCCTGAAATTCTCCATTTCTAGCAAGCCCCTAAGTGTGATGCCTTTGCTACCAGCCTAGGATCACACTTGGTAGCAAGGGGCTAGATCAGTGGTTCTCAAAGGGAGCAACTTTGCTCTTCAGAGGACATTTGGCAGTGTCTGGAGACATCTGTTGGTTGTCACAAATGAGGGTGGGGGTGCTACTGGTATCTGGTATGTAGAGGCCAGGGATGCTGCACAATATCCTATAATGCTCCTAGAACAACAGAAAAAATTATCTAGCACAAGATGCCAGTATTGCTGCTGTTGAAAAATCCTGGGCTTAACGATAGCCAGAGTATGGGTCAGGGAACCTTGCTTAGCCAGGTGCCAGTGCCTAGTAGGTGTGGGCTAGATGAAGGACAGGAAGCATACCTGTGAAAATGTAAGGTAAAGGTTCCAAATGAAACATAGTTGTATCTGTGGTGTCTGCTCCATGCCGTGGCTGAAGCCAACAGGACAGAGCATGGATTAAGTAGAGCTTGAAGGCACATGTGGCGCCTGGCAAGGCAGATTACTGATTTTATTTAAAATAATTCCTCACATTTGAATTGCATTTTAGAGTTTGAAAAAACATTTCCATATGTGTCATGTTATTTGATCCACAACACCCTCATGAGGTAGAGCAAGGATTGTTCTCTTTCCTGAATTTAAGATTTCTTGTGGTGCAATGGTTAAAACATTTGGCTGCTAATTAAGTGGTCAGCGGTTTGAAACCACCAGCTGCTCTGCAGGAGAAAAATGAGGAAGTCTGCTTCCTTAAATATTTAGAGCCTTGGAAACCCTATTGGAACAGTTCTACTCTGTCCTATAGTATTGCTATGAGTTGGAATTGACTCGATGGCAGTGGGTTTGGTGGTGGTTTTTTGTTTGTTTCTGAATCTAGAAACTTAACTCAATCAGCCAAATAAATGCTTATTGAATTGAATGGAACTGAAATTCACTTCATTATAGATACTCTTAGAACAGTCAGGACACCTCTTTCAGCCAATTTTGAAATGGAAGAGTTGGATGGCGTGATTGGTAAGACCCTTTCCAGCTCTGACATAAGTAATTTTGTGATTTTGCCAAAAAATTGATTTGAGTCTTAGGTGACTGCAGATTGAGACCATGGATATGAGATGGGAGAACTTACAGTAGAATGTAGTGCCATTGACCCAAACCTTCCTCATCTGCACCCCCTTGGATCCTAGGCTTGGGGTAGTGAAGTCCCCTGAGAAGCTGCAAGTACACCCCCTTCTCATCCCTCTTCTCTGAGGTGGGAAGGGACTGGCACCTGGGCTGATGCTTTTTCCTCTCCCCACAGGCTGTCTACAAGGCCTGGCTGTGCTCAGAATACTTCAGCGTGACCCAGCAGGAATGCCAGCGCTGGGTGCCCTGCAAGCAATACTGCCTGGAGGTGCAGACCCGGTGCCCCTTTATACTCCCTGACAATGAGGAAATGGTGTACGGAGGGCTCCCTGGCTTTATTTGTACAGGTAAAGGCAGGGCACTGGGGAAGAGGGAGGAGGCCAGGGGACTAAGGTAGGTACAACTCAAGACAGTGGGAGCAGGGAGGACAACAGGGGAGTCAGGTAAGAAGATGGTTAAGTGGATGGAAAAGTGGGCAGGGAGGGTCGAATAGAATAGGGGAAAGGCCAAAGTGGCCATCTCTACCCAGAACATGCCAAGCTAGGTATCATCACAGAGAAACTAGCTAGGGCCCCAGGGAGACAAGGATCCAGGAAGGGAAGGTATTGAAGGGCAGGGAGGGGAAAGGAGCCTTGGGCAAAGCTATCTGAGTGGTTCTAGATTTGAAAAAATCTCCTCTCCAGGTAAGACATAACATCAGCCCCCTGAGCACCCCACCACACCTCCCTTATCCATTGGCAGGGTTGCTGGATACTTCGCCAAAGCGGCTGGAAACCAAGTGCTGCGACGTGCAGTGGGTCTCCTGTGAATTGGAAAAGAAGAAGTTCAAGGAGACTGAGGCCCCCAAAACTCACCACCAGCAATTCCACCACTCCTATTTCCACCACTATCACCAACAGTACCACCACTACCACCCCCACCATGACCCCCCAGGCCGCATCAGCCACAAGCCTTCCCTGCTGCCTGTCTCTGGGGGCTCCTGCCTCAGCCCCAGCAGGATCCGGCTCTGTGTCCTTGTTCTCATGCTCCTCCACACCATGGTGTCCTTCTCCAGCAACCAAGGTGGTGGGGGACTGGGGCTGGAGGCACTGCCTGCCCTAGAAGAGGGCCTGACACAGGAAGAATGACAGCAAGGAAGAAGAACCAGATGACCACCACACACTGACATCAGCTCCAGCCCCTCCCAGGTGGGAGGGAGGGGGCTCCTCCCATGGGAGGTGTAAGACCAGATTGGGGGCTGGGGAAAATGGGGGACAATGTATCCCCCCCAAGCTACCCCTACTACAAAAGTAGCTCTAACAGAATGGGCAAAGAGCCCCAGGGAGCTAAAAACCCATCCAGGAGAAAAAGACAAGAGCAGCAGGTGCCCCCGCCCAGGGCCACATCTATGGGGCTTAGCAAAAAAAAAAAAAAAAAAGGGGGAGTGAGCAGGGGCTAGAAATTCCCACCCCTGCTAAAAGCCCTGATCCTAGGGAAGGAGGCTGCTCACCCAGCTTTGACCCTGCAGGGAATGTTGGGGGGCACAGAGGGGAGACACTCTTTCCCCCCTCCACATTCTTTTTGTTGCCAAAATCCTTAATACCCTCCATCCCATATCCCTACAGGTGCCGGCAGACAGTGCAGTGTCCTTCCTCCCACTTCAGAGCACCTTGCCCCACATGGCTAGGAGATGAGGTATGCACAGTTGGAGCTAGTTTGGGGCCCCAGTTAAGCTGTGCCCACCATCCTAGTCAATGAGGCATAAAAATGGGACGCAGAATGAGTGCTGAGAGAAAGTGGAGATCAGGAAGGTGGAAAGGAAAGGAGAGAAGTAGACATAGAAGATATAGCCAAATGGACTGTTGCCACCTGGCTTTGGGAAGGTAGACTCAAGAACAGCTCCTCAAGTCAAAGAAAGTTGCATAAGGAGCCTTCTGAGAAAAGAGTAGAAACTGAGTTGTTGGCCTTGAAACAAAAGGCTGAGGATACATGGTCAGATAGCTGCTATCTAAAGGTCCATATCTTACAGAAGGTGCACATACTCCTAAGGGCCTCTCCTTCCCTGGAGATCTTGGCCTTGAGGCCAAAGAAGTTTCCATTTCTGATCTCCATGGGGAGGAGGGATTTAAGCCCAAGTGGATCAGGCCTGGCCTGGGTCCCCATACCCCTACTTCTTGTCCTAGCCCAGGCCTCCATGAAGGAGAACCTAGCGGTATTGTTCCAGAGCTCTCCAGAGATGAGCCTCACCCTGTCCCTGACCCCAGACTACCAAAGAGTATTCCTCCTTCCCTATTCCTGACCCCATGGGTTCCCATCCCAATTATGGGACAACCAAACTCCTCCTTAGCCTGGAGCAGGTCTCTTGCTCCAGCCACCCATCCCTCTTGCTGGAGAAAGGCCAGAGACTGGCAAGAGGACCCTTGGTTGAGAGCTCGAACTCTTTAGTTAGGCTAGATGGTTCTATAAGAGAAGAGTCATGAGAGCCCTTTGGGGCCATGCCTTGCCCTGGTGTACTAGGAGGGGGAGGCCACATTGCCTGAACCATTTAAAAGCTAATAGGAATGAACAAGTCACTGTGAATTCAAATTGGCTCAATGGCAATGAATTAGGAACAAATAAGAAAGGGAGTCAGAACTCTGCATAGGCCAAGGGGCTTTCAATACCAGAAGGGCCTGGGCCTAGACTGCATTAGAGTGAAGCCAAAAAGGGGATGTGGAGGGGAGAGCTGGAATTGGTTGGCTGAAAGATAACTGGGAGACCTCCTTAGTAAAGGAAACCATTAAAGGGCTTCAGCTGGGTCCCAAATAGGCTTAGTGAGTCTTGGAAGTCCTTCCTTTCCAGTTTTCTCATTTCTCACAGTGTGCCCCCTCCACCCATATGCCCTGCCCATGCTCCCTTTTTGGCCTTCAGCACTTGGGGCCTAGCCACATACCCTGTTCCTGGAGTGCTCTTTTTAGCTGGAGAGGGGAAGAAGTGCTGGCTCCTTTCCAGAGATGCTTATGTATAAGTGAAGGGGCAGATGATTAGGCTCCAGGGAGACCCTAGGTACTGCCTTCTAACTCCTGCATCCTCTGGAGGGGAAAGGGACTGGGAAGTAAAGGGAGACCTGTACAGCCCCAGGGAATGGACCCTTGAAGAATCCCATCCTCTCTTCCACCTCACCAAGTGCCCAGGAGACCCCTGGCTCAGACCAGCTGAGGGCCTTGCCCCGTGGCAGGGGGAAGGGGCACCATACTCCATGTCTAAGTCATTTGACTGTCCCTATCTACCCCACCACCCAGAACACCACCTGTCTGGCTGCCCCTCCCCTTCACCACAGGCAGCAGAGCTGGGCAGCTTTCTTATGCCATTTTCTACACTGTGCTTCATGAGTAGGACTTTCTTGCATTAGTTCTTTGACTGAGTCTTCAAGCTGGTTTCCAAGTAGTCCCCCATCCCTCCTTCCTTTACCCAGCTATGATTCAGTTGTCTCTGCCCTTCTTATCCCTGCCTCCGTGTTTTGGTGAAAGTCTATGTGTACTGCTTTCTGTTTTATTGCATTGTGGGGCAGAGGCCGCTCTGTTCTTTAATCCCATAAAGAAATAAATGGTAAGACTTGATGATAACCCTCCCTTCATGGCTTTGTTCTGTGGAGTCAAGCTTGTTGCCTTAGGAAACAGTCTATGACTTTGGGAGTGGGTGAGACCAGAGGATGCTGACCCTATGCCCCATCCCCTGTTGGCTCCAATCTCAGGGAAAAAAAAAAAAGGTAATCTCAGTAGTAGACCAGTGTAGACAAAGGATCATAAACTTAACCATTTGCAAGGATCAGGCAGATAAATGTAAATGAGTGAAGTGGGCCAGGCTGGGGAAAAGTATAGACTCAAATGTAGTAACTGCTAAAAACTATACAGTACATTCCTTGTTTAAAGGGGGAGGCTGAAGCTCAGTGTTGTCTTGTGGGAACGTGGGTTCAGTGTTGCTGATTTTCGGATTCTTCAAGGAAAGTCACAGGCCTCCATATTTTTATGTGAAACCTGTTACATTCCTAAATGCTGAAAAAAAAAAAAGAAGAAGCTGTGTGGCCTGAACATATCTTCTGGCCCCATGTGACTTTGGGGATTACCAGTTATCCACCTTTTCTGCAGCTTTTGGTTCTAGTCTACCAGTCTCATCTCTCCTACACCTCATCACCAGCTCCATCTTCCCACCACAGGAGTGAAAGTCACTCAAAAGAACTGTTAAGGAGTGGCAAAAAGAGCCCTCCACCACTACTACCCCTTTCACATAAATAGAGAGAGGGAGAACAGTGAGTTAGAAGGGAGTCTGGTGTCTTGACTGAACTAATGAATTACTTTGCCAAGACAAAAACATGAGCTCCCCAATTTCCCTAAGATGGCATAGCATGGAGATTAAGGGTATGGACTCTGAAGCCAGACTATAGGAGTTCAAAGTGTAGTCTTACCATCTCCTACTTGTATGACCTTGGACAAGGTCCCTTACTTATTTGAGCCTTGGTGTCCTCATCTGTCAAAAAGGTTATTGTGTGAATTAAATGATGTATGCAAAGCATTTTATACAACATATGGAACAAAAGAGCCATGTTGATAATTATTATTACCATTAGTCACTCAGCCTTCTCTTTCTTTCACCCCTCACTTGAGATGGTCATCAAGTTCCATCAATTATACCTAGGTAATCTGTGTCAAAATCTTCCCCTCCTTCCCATCCCCATTCCCACTCAGCTGTTTCAGGTCCTCAGCAGTTCTTGCCTGGACTACTACAATAGCCTAATTACTGATGGCCTGATCCAATTGTTCTGACCCCAATCCATCCTCTACCTAGTACAGTGTCAGGGCCTTAGGAGGTGCTCAACACTTACTTTTTTTCTTTTGGAAAGAATTGCTGCCATGTTTGGATTTCCTAATGTACACATCTAATCTTCCTAAAGTTAACATATTGTAGCTCTGCTCAAAAAATCAGATGGTTCCACATTGCCTGTAGAAGAGTGTAAACATCTCAGCATGATATTCAAGGTTCTTTGCATTTGGATCCTATCCTACCAGTCTGATCTTCCACCATAGGCTCGCATACACTCATGTCCCAGCTGCATTTAACTACTGGCTGTTCATTGAATAAGGTCTACACCTTCTCATTTCCCCACCTTTGCTCATAATGTCTCTTTTGCCTGGAATACACTCTCTTCATCTTTGCCTATCACTGCCTTACTTAGTTTTCAAAGCCCACTCAAATGCCACCTCTGCTATTAAGACTTCCACATTCCTCCTTTCCTAAGCTGGAAACAATCTTTTCTTCCTTTGTATTTCTGTAACACTTTGCACTTTAATTATGGTACTTATTACATCGTGCCTGTATTTGACTTATTTACTCAGTCCAAACATACTAAGCAATTACAATATGCCAAGCGCTGGGCTGGGTGCTGGAAATACAGCAGTAAATGACAGACATATCCACAATATAGTATGACTTATGCATCATTTGGCAACCATAATATGCTCACTCTTATGTTAGAGCTTTTGTTCATGAAGAAGGAGCCAAGATCTCTTGGCCTCAGACATGAGAAAGTGAGGTGAGAGACTGGCTATCCCCCTCTAGCCTGGTACACAGGAAGAGCATAGGGGGCTACATGTCCACAGTGGTAAGGGAGCAAAGAGCATAATGGCTGTTCCAAATACATGGTCCTATGTGTCACACATTGTCCTTTGACTGCTAACTAAGCTAGCACTGTCCTGCAGCTGCCCTTCTGAGCTCCCTGCCTCCATACAGGTCCATACCCTGGTACTCTCACTTCATGCCAGGTCTAGCTGCAAAAAGCCTCAGTCCCAGTCTCAGTCCGTGCAAGGAGGGATGTTGGCAGTGGCTCCACCCCTGGAAGTGCAACCAAATCACCTGGAGGGTTTTAGGTCTGGCCCCATCAGCAGAGATGTATGTAATTTAATTAGTCTGGGTTTGGGTCCTAGCTTCTGGATTGTTTAACAAACTCCATAGTCAATTCTAATGTCCAGCCAGGATTGACAATCACTGGATGAAAAGATGGATGGAACTACGTGAAGTCATTGTTATCTGAGGATAAATGATTACTGGAAAAATACCATTTAAAATGAATCCACTTGAAATGGGGACCCACATTTCATAGTAAAGAATGAGG